ACCTTCATGTTATGATGGCTTCATTAAGGGCATAACCCTATTGGAAACTGAGAGACATCTGTAGAAGGAGCAAAATGGGAGACTGAAACAAATTTGTCAAGATGTGGCACTAGCCAGGTGGCATTCAATGAGGGGCCACACTTGTTCTCTTTGAGCTGGACAAGACGGCAACAAGTAAATTTAAACATGGCTCCATCCCGTCATCCCATATTAACTGTATCCAGGTCACTGGATCCAAAGAAAGAGCTAACCTAAAACTGAACTTTCATCTACAAGTAGCAAACAAGACTTGAGACTAAAAGATGTTCCTTCACGGACCATAGGTGTAAGAATTTGGAAATGTAAGTTAAAAAGGAACAACGGCCTAAGGAAAATCAAGGAAGAAAACCAAAGGAGTCTGGTGTCTCCAAGTCATTCTGCATGTGAGCTTTTATACAAAAGGAATAATCCAGACATTTTAAAGAGATTTGTTAGAGAAACTATTAATTCATTCATTAAGGCGTCCAAGACTTAGCTGCAGCAGGATTTCCAGGATCACACCTATAGGAGCTACATGACATTACCACTGGCAAGCTGGAGGCTTTAGAAACGGTGAGTTATTACAAGGACCCTCCTGTTATCATATGGTAAAAAACACTACAAATTTAAACTCCACTGAGAAGAGTATCAGCTCTTAGGGCAGGGCCCTCAATCTTCCACACCTTTCTATCAAGCACTAAGGTATGCGTTTCTTAGGTATTTTAAAAATGTTTGTGGGAATATCTGGCAGTAATCTGAGAATGTATGCACACAGAGAGGGGGTACATGGTAAAAAGCATACCCAACTTCCTAAAAGGATTTAGAACTGAAATAACCCAGCGGTACTCCTCCCACACCAACATGGCCAAGGATAAACTGACAGAGAGGGATGCCTCAGAGGTCTAACTTTTCCTCTCATGTATACGTTTTCTTCTGGGTGCCTTAGAAAAATGGGAGAAGGAATTTGCAGAGAAAGCAATGAAGTGTAGAACAAGGAAATAGCCAACAGCAACGTTTATAAAACCGCTCAACTACTGGCCATTAAAGAACAGCTCCTTGGCGTCGCAAGTTGGAACCTGCAAATGTAAATCAGGCCTTTGTGAGACAAACTAAAATAGTGTCCCCTCAGGGTGCACAAATACCACAGGGAAGTCACCAGCTTGAGCTACTCCCGGACACAGTCAGAGCCCATATTACAAAGGTTTTCCCGAGAGAAACAGAAAATTTGCTGTTTGTTTCATGTTACGGGAGGGCCAAGTCACCTATGGGCTGATTCTGATTTATACACATAAGACATTTCATACAGATTAAAGAGCATCCTAGAAAAGCTCATGAAGTGCTTGGGAATTGGGTGCAATGCTAACTTTGGAAGCTCCATAAACTTTGACAGGGTTGCTCTTGTAAACAGTTTCTTAACCTAATTGTTTTAAGAATGAGAAAAGGCTACCTTTTTGCAAGATCAAAACCCTGTCTGCCAAGTTTCCATTCACAATAATTATCGAATTAACTAAAGGGGTCGTTTAAGAAAAACCCAATCCTCAGCTACAGCACTGCTTTCAACAGGTCCCTGGGTATTGCTACAAACTCACTCACAACATTATCATCTGATGTAAAAGCTACACTTTTAAACAGCAGCTAAGAAACCTATACAGAGTACTCAGCAAAGATCTGTAAGCTGAAAGCAAAACAGAACTTTTTGGGAACGGGTGCCTGACAGAGACTTCCCTCCACAACACGCAGAAAATACAAAGCGACTTCAACTCTTCATGGCCAAAGATACACTGTGCCCTGAACCCTATGTCACTGTAATGGAAGTTAAGTAATGGCAGCTGTCAGAATCCATACTGGATTTCCTCCATTTTTACATGAAGTGATACATGATCTAATTTGTACCTGTAAAATGTTAAAATACAATTCAGCCTCCCCAAAAAGGGTACCAGTTAAAACAATCATACGGTCTGGTATATGAAGGGTTACATAAAAACCTGCCATCAGTGGTCTCCCAGCTGGGGAGCTTAGCAACTAAGGACACAATGGCTTGTTACTATATGTATTATTTGAATACATCTCATCATGTTTCATTTTCATACGAAAAAAGTGACTCATGATCATCGCCAAAACGTGCATACTGCACGCCTCTTAAGTGTGCTCTGACTTCATAAATTGTAAGGCAGGGTCTCACTAGTAGCTCTGGCTGGTTTGGAACTTGCGATGTATATGCCAGGCTGACCTTGAACATCAGCCTCCCAGAGTGCTCCAGCATACCTAGCCCTAGACTTGATTTAAGTTTTGGGGTGAAGAAAGTACAACATCAAAAGGAAGGCCAGCAAAGCGGCGGCTGGGCCTCTTCTTTCACACCGCTCCCTTGGGTTTCACAGGCTCTGGAGGGGCAAGGCACAGTATGCATCACTTGTTTAAGGGTATGTGAAATTTGAACTGGAGGGGAGATTTAATGGATGCAGAGAACAGTCATGGTACTTGACTCCATGGGAAATAATTAGTTAGCTACAGCCCACAGAGTAACTGGAGTCAAGGAATGAATACGTTGACTATCAAAACACTCTGATGGCCAGGCCTGGCCTACTTGCCCGAAATTGTTGAGCACAGCATCTATGCATGCATATATACCCGGTCATTAAAAAAAAAAAAAAAAGATAGGACAGAAACCCGAAAGATCAGCCCCATGACACGTAAAGCTCTCCCTCCCCACACACTTCCTCCAGGGCCTCATGCCCAACCCAAGAACAAGAACAGTTAGTTCGGTCAAGACTTCATACACTATCCTACTGAAATGTGGAAAGCACGTGTTTACAACGACTAGACTGCTATAAAAATATTGTAAATATTTTTCTTAAGAGTAAACCTGCTGGGCATGGTTGTTCACACCTTTACTCTCAACAGTCAGGAGGCAGAGGCAGGCAGATCTCTGTGAGTTCAAGGCCAGCCTGATTGACAGGGCAAATTCCAGGAAAGCTAGAATAAGACCCTGTCTTATGAATGCCATTTAGCAACCAATGGAAGACTTTCTCAGCAAAATCAAGTCCTAGCATACAATGTCCGAACGAAGTGAAAGAGCCCTTTGACCTTGTTAGTAAGGTGGCCCAAAATAAGCCTATCTGGCTCCCAACAGCAGCCACCTAACCTGTTACTCTCTAACCCTAGCACGCTGTCTCGGCAACAGAGAATTGACCAGGGTGTAGTCTATCCCTCTGCAATCACCTGAAATAAACCTCCGCTCCTTAGCCTAGAGCAGAGGAAAGCCAAGAGGGACATCCATTGTTCGGAACTTTTCAACTGCATCTCAGGCACTTGGGGAACATCAAGGCCTTTTCTTTGGGTTTTTGTTTTTTCATTCTGAAAATGGATTAAGCAAGACTTCAAGGGAATTCGGAATTGAACACAAAAAAAATTAAGTAAAAGGTTAAAAATAACTGAACATAAATTGCAAAACTCATTTTGGGCAACTGAACAACTTTCAAGCTCCTTAAAAGAGTAGTCTCGCGAGACCGTGAGCAGCCCTGAAGGTCTCCCACTGTCTGGAGAAAGGCACCTGCCCCAAGACTCTACTTCTGCACTTCTGTACTGTTCCAAGGCCTTTAAAATAACCCAACTCATTCGTTTAGTTAGTTACTGAAAAGCAAAGGCCTCACAGTTTCATTTTATGAACTTGTTTTCAAAATGTTCCATCTGCCCGGTGACTCATCCACAAATAAAAAGGTGTTTATTACAAAGGCACTAAATAGTGCTTTTCTAAAACTTATCCCACACATGGTAATTGACACTTTTCAAGGCACTTTCTGTTAAGTCATAGTCCTTCTCTGAAATCCTGAGAAAATGTTTGGTGTGCTAGAGGGCAATGGGGAGAAAACTACAAAACCATGATCAAAGAATCCTTTGCCAACAAAATGTCCCTTTCAAATATCCCAGATATTATTAGCTCTATAGAACTGCTCTGCACGCTTTGGACAGGCTTGGGGCAATCTGTTCTCTTTGGAAGTTCTTTAGTACCAGCCACTCATGTGCTCCAAATGCACTGGCAATGGAAGCTCTACACATCCATAATCCGTTTCCCACACTTACATTATTACACTGTTGAACACGACAACGGAATTTTCTATTTGCTAGTACGTCTCAAAAACGAAGAAAAACTTTCCTGGATCAAGCAGGAACTTTGATCCATCCCATCATCGGCCTTTCCCATCCATGCTTCTGCCGTGAAGTTTCCCACTATACACCCCTTTCCTGAATTCTAAAATGATGCACGTTTCCACACTTGCTTGGATCAAAGCAACAGGGAAGACGGCGAGGAGAGCTTTTTACAGCGGAACAAAACTGCCCGGCAATTACAGTGAGTGTCTTCATTACCTTTTTGTTTTCTCTCCACCAGGATTAGCAGTGAAATAGCTCTTAATTAAGGCTGAACAGCTCTAAAGAACAGTAACTTAAAAGTGAACTTCTACTTTAATTACACATAGGCAATACCGGCAGTAAAGACATTCTTATCAGAGCTAAGAGCAATCACTCTCAACCCCGGAGAGGAGAGAGACAGCTAAACATTTTAAAGACAAGTGTTTAAAGTAGACCTTCAAGACTCTAACGCAAGCATGATACGTGATGGTCCTGCCAGGATGGGGGCTTCATTAGCACTTCAAGGTGGAAAAAGGGGAGTGGGGGTGTTGGTCCAAGATCCTGACTGCTGAAATAGAAAATAATCAGCGGAATAAGCATTCGGTTGGGTTAAAAAGAGTAAGAAAATAGAGATGCTAGAGTGGGACATGGTGGCCCTCACCGGATGTTCAAAGCGAGATAGATGAATTTGAGAAGTTGGAGAAAGGAATTTCTGTGTGTGGCCCACGCTGGAGAGCAGACCGTCAGCACGCGGCTGGACAGGCCCCTCGGGCCGGACCAGCGGCTCCATGGAGGGAGCCCCGGAGCTGGGCCGTGAACGAGAAGTAGTGGGGAACAGGGCTGTCACCGCTTACCCAGGTGCAGCGTGAGGTTGATGGAGTTGGGGTACTGCACCCCGGCCAGCATGGTCTGGCTTTGCCACCAGGTGGTGTCGGCCTGGTTGTTGTAGTCGGTCAGGAAGGCTGCCCCGTGCTGCAGGTGGAGTTGGCCGGCGTCGCACAGGTGACAGGACTTGGTGACTCCGGTCACCCCAGTCTGCACGCAGTACTCCTCGGGCGGAGTCCCACACGTGTTGGTAGCCACCACGGTCACATTGAAGGCGGCATTAACAAACTCCGGCATGCAGCGCTGCGGGCGGCCGCCCTCATCCGCGCACTCGTCCATGGCCGCCCGGACACAGCCCGCCGCAGCCGCCAGCAC